GAATACTTAGACTAGAAATGGAAGAAAAATTGGGAGAAAATCCGAACTCACCAAACATTAATTACTTTTTTACTAACGAGTTGTTAGAACATTATGAAACACTGAAGACAAATTTTTATAATGGTACAGAAGAAATAAAAGACACAGGAGGATGGCAAGATGACATGAAGTTTCTGTTTCATCTGACAAGAACCTACCGATACTATGACCAAAATAAAATATTTCCTAATGTAAGATTTCAAAAAATCCCTAATATCAGTAATGCTTGGTGGAGTTCAAGAGCTATTTTAGCGTTGTTAGCCTACATTCTTATGCCAAAAACAAGAAACAAACTTGAATCTGTATGTACCTTTATTTCTTACAAGTGGGCAGACTTTTGGTTTGACGACCAAACCTATAAAGAAAACACTTATTCAGACCTTCATGAAGTTTTATTAAACAAAAAGAAACCTCTTGCTACATTTACAAGTCATTGGAATCCAGAACCATCAGCAATCAACATTCCCAGAAGTAATCAATGTGCAATTAAAAGAAAGAGCAATTAAAGTAATGGAGGAGCTTTATAGATTGTGCAGAAATAAAGACAATCTTCCACTTCGTTTCATTTTGTCTAATAAACAATAACTGTATGTATTTAAATTGTATAAAATGTTTTTTCCTGCATTGAATATAACACTATGCCATGTATTAATTGTTAGAATAAATTATGTTTTTTTATAGAATCATATGAATGAACATGTTTGCAAATAGAAATGATTTTGGTCATTAATTTTTTTAAAACCTTTTTAAATCTTAATGTGCTTTGGGGCGTGACATTTTTTTTGAACATCGTGAAAGTATTAATATTTTCGCATTTTATGCGTAAAAACTCATTCATTTTCGGGCCAGGGAAATTTTTTTTTAAAAAGTCATATCCCTAATATATATATATATATATATATATATATATATATATATATATATATATATATATATATATATATATATATATACACATGCATACACTAATTTTAATTTCTGTATATAAGTATTAAAAAAAATATATTACCTTTTACAAAGCTGTAAATATAGTTTGTATTTGTTTTACCAACACATGTTTCAGAAGAAGAATCATTACATCTCTTAAAATCTTTACTGATACAGTTTGTTGAATGTTCACCTCGATTATCATGGTTGAGCACAGATCCACTCCAGCATTTCCCAAAAAAATAAAGTCCAAAAAACTTGTATCCAAATAATTTAGCTTTTTCTGCACATAAACAAGCAAGTCTAAAATTTTTTTGAGATTATTATTGTATATTGTTCATATGAATCAAGTCTAAAAAATTTTTATCAATAAATGCTTTTTTTTCGAAAAACATTTATTGATAAAATTGAAGATAATTTTTTTTTGTACTTTTTAATTTTCTTTCACCTGGAGCATTTATTTGACTATTTTTTATAAATCTTAGTTCAAAGTTTAATTTACTGAACTTTCATAGAAAATTCAGTAAATTAAAGATGACTCAACATTCTAAATAAAGAAAAAAAGACTAACAATAAACCTTATATTATTTTTTGGTGGCGTCAGGTGATCACAAACATTTTAATTTGAATTTTTAAAATTAAAATCTAAAGAAAAAAAACATATACATGTTTTCTAATCTGATTTTGAATATATAAACATTTTCAAACACACACAAATACACAAACACACTCACACAAACATACAAACACACACTCTTAGCTCACTGAAATTCAAGGCACAAGTAGCACTTGTTTCAAGTTCATATCTGTTATTTGTTTACAAAACATTTTAGTATTGCATCAAGATTTGAAATTATGAACTTTTATAGATTTATGTTAATAAAAGTAATTTTTTATGAATTTTTGGATATTTAAAAAAAAAAAGTTTTGGATATTTTTTAAACAAATACTTGAAAAAATAAACCTGGTTATTTCAGTTATTAAACATTTGTTATTTCAGCACAATCAAATATATATTTTGCATAATTATTTATGTAGATTCTGCTGCAAGTGTGTGATTTCAAAACTATATTTTCCAATAGCACTATAAAAATTAATTTCTTTTTTGTTGTTATTGTTGTAATATACTGTTACACAATTTTAACTGTGAAATGTCATGTTTTGTACATATATATATATATATATATATATATATATATATATATATATATATATATATATATATATATATATATATATATATATATATATATATATATATATATATATATATATATATATATATATATTATATATCATATATGTATATATATATATCATAAATGTCATATTTTGTATATATATATATATATATATATATATATATATATATATATATATATATATATATATATATATATATATATATATAGTATATAAAAGATTTCAAATTAAAAAACTTGACACACTCAGATTAATAAAAGGCATAAAAATGATAACCTAGTGATTTCATTAGCATCAAAGTTTTACATCACCTTTTGAAATAAGGCATCATAAAACTTGATTTTGCTAAAAACATCCTGTTCAACCATCCCTAAATGATGGAATTCTTTCTTTTGATTCAACAAAAATATTTTGTCATAAGATGCCAAATGGTGACCTTGTCCAAAGAAACTGGTTCTCATATAATGTAAAAAACAACTGCCTCTACTGCTCTACTTGGCATTTTCAGTCAACAAAGATTGCCGTTTGTAACAGGAATCAGACTATTATTAACATTATTACTATTATTGGCTTGTTTACTGCTATATTAAGTCAGTGTAAAAAATAGTACATAATACTTCATATATTTTTTGTAAATAGCTTTTTTTATTTAAAATGTTTCACGACTTGATTCTTGAATCCCCTCTAGTCAATAAATTTAAAATCATCTGGCAATTTATTGTTAAAACTATATCTTATTACGTAAGATAGAGTTTTTCCTGTTTTTTTTGTTTGTTTGTTTGTTTTGGTTTTAAGTAACAATTAATTGCATTTATTGAAAATAATCATATACTTCGTTGTTTTTTAAACAAAATTCGTGAAAGACAGTCATTTTCTGTAGTTAAACAGTATTGCATATAAATGTAAACACTTTTGTTTAAATAATTTTTTTTGCAGATAGCCAGTGTTATCTAGTCAATGTATCATTACTATGGGTGAACCATATTTCAAGATTGTACTGATAGCTTTGTTTCTGTAGCATTTAAATATCATTTAATTTGTATCAGAAAATAATAAAGCACAAAATTCAAAATAAGCTGCAATAATTGTATTAAAAATTATTGTTTTAGTTCACCTTGTCAGATATTTATTCTCATAAGATAATCAGTCATTTTAGCAATTTTGGTTAATTAATGTGTTCAAAAAAATTCAAATTCAAGTCAATTTTAATAACATTGAATTAAACTATTTGATTTTCAAACTTGGCACATATGCTTGGATATTTTTCATTGATTATTTCTTAACTATTTCACCTTGGATCTTGTAATCAACATAATCATCAACTTATTCAATTAGTTTCAATCCACTTTAAATAAACCAGACACTAACTACTTTCAATTCATCATTTAACTTTATCATTGATTCTTCCTAATTTTTACCTTCGATGGAGACTAATGTGTTGTTTGCAAAGATAGTAATGTTTACATATCTGGTAGTACTGTTAATGTTATTCATGTATTATTCACAGGGTAGTTCAGATAATAGCTGATCACCAATTCTTACTCTTTAAGTTCTTCCTGTTAAGTAAAATATATAATTCATCAAAGAACTTTGTAGCACTTCAATTTTTCTCTTAATATTTTTCTTTTAATTGTTTTAAATGGTCTTTTCAAGTCTAGCGTAACTGTAATATCATATATATAACGGTATGTTCAACCGTTGTATTACTAATGATGAGCATATATCTATCAATTGCTACCCTTCATTTTTAAAAAAGTATTTGAACTGCTGTTTCAGTAGAGTGATTATTTTGGAAGCTAAATTGATTTTTATTAAATAGCATACTTAATAACTTAATAACTGTACATATGCACAAATTTTTTCATAAACTACTAATATGTTTAGATGTTTTTATGCTAGCAACAGATACATAGTTTACCATGTGGCTGTTGGTCTCATAAAGTGTGACAAAAGATAAAAAATTGATAACAAAATAAACAACTATTAGTTGTTCAATTTTGTTATCAATTTTTAAATATCTAGAATGCTCTGAATGAAAAATTCATTGTATTTATCAACCATGGATTTGTTATATAAATCATTAAATGCAATATCTTCCATATAAAATAAGCCTTACACTGAGTTTCAGTAAGAGTTTTTAATGTCTTCTACTTTGCAACGCTGTCACCTTTAAACACCTATTTAGTTTTGTAATACTCAGTTTTCAATTTTCTTAATAGGTAAGTTTTGATATTTCTCCATTTTTTATAAACTCTGTATTACTTGAGACAATTTTCTTTGTTCACTTTAAGTTTTCTTACTGCTTTAAATTTGCTCCAGTCTAGGTTCGCTTTTTTACTTGCTGTCACCAACTTTGGATCCCTCAAAAAATATAAATTTTAAAATCTCATCATCACTCAAAAAATAAAAATGGTTTCGCTTAAACTACTGTTTTTAAAGTATCTTAAATAATATCAATCATTAATAGTTTTTAAGAAACCTTTATAACAGTAGTTCGGACAAAAATCATTTCACATAACAATTGATAATCAATGAATTTTTCAGTCATTTCATTAATATTTAATTTCCTGAATTCATTCTTTTATTCTACAAGCTTGACTACCAAGTCTTGATTTAATATTTTATAGACCATTTTATTATACAATTAAACTCCTTCGGAATGAAGTAGATTATTCTTTAAATGTGAACTCTTTTTTAATTTGTATTTATATTTAGACACATGCAGTTCATGGTCTGAAATTTTATTTTGTGCGATTTCAAGAGGTAAACTACCTAAAGACAGATCAATTACAGTACAAGTAGTTAGATTAATTCTTCAAGAATTAATCTAACTACTAGTACTGTAATTGATCTGTTTTTAGGTAGTTAACCTCTTGAAATCGCACAAAATCTCTTGAAATCGCACAAGAATTTCTTGTGGGTATAATTTCTTTGTTGAATATTTTTAGGCTTGTCACTTCAAGGAAACTTTTAGAATAAGCGTTTAGATTTCTAAATAGATCAATAAGGCTATTACTTACAATCTATATCAGTTTTAACTGTTAGTTGGGGACCTTTTGCTCAGTAGTCGTATATCTAACCAGTTTCTTGTTGTTGTTTGATTTTTTTATTTATTATTATTTACATAGTTATAGGTTTCGATTTCAGCATTGCACAGTGGGCCAGTAGGTGGACAAAACTAAAAAAATTTATGTCTGAAAACTGAAATTCTTTTTAAAAAGTTTTTACTTAGATACATTGAGGACCTTAAAAATAATTACAATAAATTAAAAAAATATATATTCTCAACAAAAACTCATTTCAAGTAAAATTTTTGCAAAAAAAAAATGGCGATAAAGTGAGAAAATGTAGTTTTTAAAAAAGCAAAAGTGTGTAATAAATTTTTAGTATATTGGTTAACTGTTTTTATTAACATATCAAATAATTGTTAATATATAAAATTTATAAAAAAAAAAAAGTTAAAAAAAAAATTTTAAACCAGTTTTAGATATATTTTTTGGTAAAAATTGGACTTTTTTTTTAATTTTTTTTTTGAAAAGACAACAAGGAAAAATTTGTGCTCTATTTTGCCTTTATCTCTTATACATATTTTGAAGGCTATATGTATATGTTTTTATAAAATTATTAATTTAGCTGCTAGTATCTGCTACTTTTTTTAATACTTATAATACTTTTTAATACTTATACTTTATAAAATCAAAGATGTTTCTTTTTCAAGTTTCTTTTGTCGCAAAATAACAAGTATTTATATATATATATATATATATATATATATAATATATATATATATATATATATATATATATATATATATGTTAATACAACTTTTTAATGTTTATATTATTTTAGTCTAATAATATTATTATTAGTAATATGTCAACCATCACAAGATATCAAATTCATCAATTCATAAGACAGCATGGTTTATCTATGTCTAATGAAAAAGACAAACTTTATGTTTACAATTTTATTCGTGAATACTGTTCTGAATTTGATGCTCAGTTTGTAACCTTTTTGTCCAAGTATCGTAAACGTTGGTCTTTAAGTAAAAGAATTGATGAAAACTTTATGAAACATAATTCAGTATGGCTTCAAAAAGA